ATAGAACAATACGTGTACTACTGTTTCATGAGAAACTATTTCTTCTGTAAGCCTTCACCTGAAGTACAATAAAAAAATAAAATAAAATAAAATCAAGCAAACAAACAAACAAACAAAAGAAATGGACAAAAGGATATCACTTCAGATCCTAAAAACGTGAAAAAGAAAATAAGGGACTATTATGAATAATTTTATGCCAATAAATTTGACAACTTAGATAAAATGAACCAATCTTTGAAAGATACAAGGGTGGCAGTGGAGAAGTTTGAGTGTAAATATTCTATATCTTGATTGTTTTGGAGATTACATGAGGTTCTCATTTGTCAAAACTCACCAGATTCTACAATTAAATTGGGTACATTTTATTGTATGAGAATTATGTGTTAATCAAATTGATTAAAAATTTTTTTTTGGGCTTAAGAAAAAATGTTTACTGTTATTAATGGGATCAGCTGATATCCAGATCTGATTCTTACCAGTTCTTTCCCCAGGCAGGAGGGAAGGAAGCCAATAGCCTGAATTTTCTACAAAGCCGTAACATATTCAGTGTCACCTGAACAAAGTGCAAGTCCCTAAAGTCTTCAACACAATAATATTTGTTAATCACATCATAAGGAGAAGGGCCAGGGTCTCAGAGATGCCCTTGTGGAAATTAATGTCTGCTTCGTTTCTCAGAAAGCTTCAGCCTTTTTCAGGCTCACAAGCTGGAGTCCAGTTCACCTACTGAATGAAAATTTACCTTGACTAGGAAAGAAATCTTGAGCTCTTTTCTTCACACCTCCTTCTGGGATACCTGGGCCCCACCCCAGACCAATTAAATCATAAGCTCTGGGGCCTGGATACTGATATTTTTAAAAAAGCATCTAGGTGATTCTAATGAATAGTTGGGTTGAGTCCAAATATGACTCCTTCCTAGTCAGTCTTCCATATAACCCCAAGCACAAGTTCCTTAAACACCACTACGACCTTGGCATTCACCCAGGAAAATCTTCATGGCTTCCATTGCCTGCAGGCTGAAGCCCAAAGTCTTTGCTTGACACTCAGAGCCTTTCACAATTTGGATCCGGCCTCTTTCCATCATCAACACTAATAGCTAAGATTGACTGGGCGTTTCACACGAGCCAGGCACTTTACTGAGGGCTTTACGTGTATTATTTTATTCAATTCTCACCTAAGCTTAGGGGATAGGCGTCAGTTTCCTCATCTGTAAAATGGGAACTTTCCAAGAGAAGCATGTAGCACATTGTCTGGCACATAGTTACTTCTTAGTTAACAGTGAGTTAACACTCAGCCATTACTCCTACCATCCCTATTTTATAGTGAGAATGTGAGGTTCAGGGATGTTAATCAACTTGCCCAAGGCCACACCCTTAAGTGACAGAGCTGGTGCCTGAACCCAGGAAGTCTGGGCTACCTTACTTTTCACTCCGTTATTGAAGACTTGTGCTCAACTCAGAGACAATTTCTAGAGTTCTCCTTGATGAGGTGTCCAGGTCTTTGCACACGCAGTTCCCTCTGCTGTTAGAACGCCTTCTTCCACCCATCTTGAGGAAGGCTTCTTCCCAGCACCTCCCTCCCCCATGACCACCCTAGGAGAGGCAGTGACTCTCTCCTCCGTGGCCTCTCAGCCTTCTCAACAGACCTCTCTCCATACTCAACTCACAGACTGTCACTTAGACACAGCTACACCCCCCCTCAGCTCCACATTATCTCTGGCTCTGCTATGCCTAGCCTGGCAAGCAGCAGACCTCGGTGGGTGTTTGTTGAATTTGTTGCAAGCAGAATCCACCAGAAAGAGCCAAGCCAAGAGCAGAGAACAATACTTGCTGGCAGGGATCCCCCGCCTGTTCTCATCTGCCAGCATGCACTCCAGAGCGAGCACACCCGCGTTTTCCTTTGGCCAGAGTCCCTGTACCATTTGCCAGAACTTCCAGTCCCTTGGCCCTCACTCTCACATTGCTCTCCTGCCTCCCCTGCAAAGTCACCTCCCAGAGGCCTAACACCATCCAGCAGCATGAGTCCACAAGATTCCTCACCTCCCCAGTTCATTTATTCAACAAGTATTTACTTAATATTTACTATGAGCCAGGCACTGTGCTGGGCACTGGGTACAGAGTGGAGAGCAAACCAGGCATGGTCCCTGCCCTCATGGAGCTTACATTCTAGTGGGAAGACAGTCAACCAACAGGGTAACACAGGTAACATGCAGATGGATACGTAATGTCAAATTCCCCATGAAGGGAAAGAATTGGGGATTTTGAGATTAACAGGGAGGGTCTAAGTACTGTGGTCACTGATGGCCTATTTGAGAAGGTGACAGGACAAGGCCTGAGGGTATGAAGAACTCAGGCAAAAAGTAGGGAAAGAGCATTCCAGGCAAAGGGAACAGCATATGCAAAGTCCTGGAGGTGGGAAAGAGGTTGGGATGTTGAGGTCATGAAAGAAAGTCAGCATGGGGGAAGTACAGGAAACAGGGTTATGATTGGCAAGATACGAGCCTAAAAGTAAGGTTGGGACCAAAGGAGGAATAGCTTTATCTTTTGTAAAACAGGAAACTCCTGACGGGTTTTAAACCAGAGCTGGTATATGATTTGCATGTTTAAAGATCTCTTTGATTGCGTTCAGAATTGATTGGCAAGGCAAGAGGGAAGCAAGGAGACCTTTAGGAGGGGAGGGCAGTAATCTAGGGGAGAGGGGATGTTCTCAGACGAGGTGATGGCTGGGGGTTCAGAGAGAATTGGATGGATTCCAGAGATATTTAGGAAGTGGAATCTATGGGAAGTTTCCAGAAGAACTACAAAACCTTTATTGTGTGTGTGCAACAATCCCAGCAATAGGGTGGGGGTGGCAGGCACCAGGAAGGCTTGGGAATATAAACAAAAGATACAAGTCCTCAACCACAAAAACAAATACACACGGTTGTCTACCCTCATCTCCCCAATCTCTTGTGGAAAATGGGTCCAAGACCAACGAAGATGAAAGTTCTGGGCCATTTCTACCTCCTTCAATGGTGTCTACAAATTCTTTTGGAGCTGGGTACTTGAAACATGGAAACATTTCCTACAGGACCACTATGAGGGAATGCTGGATTCTTAGGCTAGGAGGTTGCCAAACTGCAGGACTACAGGATGGACCTGGTATCCTGGGAGTGGTGGGCCACTACACGGGGCAGCCAGGGAGAAAAGGTGGTAGTGTTTCTTCTTCCTGTCCTGAGTGTGCCCCTTTGTGAGAAAGGTGAAGCTGGTCTTTGCCTTCTGCCCACAATCCTCTGTCCCCTTCTCTACCTCCTGGGAGCGGGCAGGACTCCCCTACACCTGCTCTCTGCCACCCCCCTCGAGACCCACTCTCTGAGATGACCGCCCTCTCATATGGGTCCAGAAGGAAAGCAATCTGCATAAACTAACTCACATTAAGGAGTGAGAGAATTACTTCAATTCTTTATCCCTCCTTGATAAGCTGCCTTTTCAAAAAAGCTTTCTGGGTCGCTCAAATAATCTCTGCTCACTAATCCACTTCTCTGGAAGGGCCATTTCCCCCCAGGTTTTTGCAAACTCCATTTCTAAGCCTATGGAGCCCCCTCAATGCAGCCTCTGGGGAAGGTGGTTCCATCAAAGGGAGGCGGGTCTTCCCAGGAGTGACAATCTAGGTATTCAATAACCAGTGTGGAATGCTGGCTGGAGGTCCCCCCACCGTCTGGGGTATGCCAGGTCTTAACCAAATCGTGGGGATTCTGGGGGACACTCGGAGGCTCTCAGGGGAAGGAGATGTTGACCAACCAGCACAGAAGTGCTTCAGCATTTTAACAACTGGTACAGCAACACTGGTCCACTGGATGCCAGGCCTGGGCCCGCCCCCATCTTGTCCAGTCTCTGCTGTTTCACAGGAAACGGTGGCTGGGCCATACTCCCCCTCTGTTAAGAGGAAAAGTGGCCTGGGCTGGAGCTGGGTAAACGGCCTCTGGGCAGAGCCAGTGACTGTGTGGACTCCTGGCTGAACAGGATCTCGGGCCTTCAACCCACTGTGTGACCTTGGAGGGCCGCGCCACCTCTGACTGTCCTTCCTCTCGCCCCTCCTCACAGTTATTTTTATCCAGGCTGACGGCCCTTGGCTGTTCCAGCAGTCTGGGCTCTGTGAGCCAGATGCAAACCAGGCACACAAGCGTCTGGTGCTGAATCCCAAGAGGATTTCTCGCTGGGTGCCATCACGTGGTACCTCCGCCCTGCCACACTGCACACCCAGCAGGGAGACCACATGCCTCAAGGATGGAGCTGGCCCTCAGCTGCTCAATCCAGGGTCCTGTCTGAGAGCGCTATCCAAGGCCTGGTGATGATACCCCGTCAAGGCGCCTTGCTGCTGCCCAGAAACCCCCCGGCCAGGCTCATCAGGCCAGCAGTGTGCAGGGAACTGTCAGCTGGAGAGTGGGTGTCTGTGGCGGGAGAAGGGCAGAGCAGGCCCTGCTGGACGCCCAGCCCCCAGGTCTGGCCACGGTGGAGAACGAGTCTGTCCTGTGGTTCAGTGCCATGGGGTGGGCTGAAGACAGGTAGGCAGGGGCAGACGATTCCCAGATTTGACCCTGCTGAAGTTACTGTGCCCCGGAAGCAAGGCAGACACTATGTTCTGACCTCTCGGCCTGGGAAAACTGCAGCCAGTCGGTCATTGCCCTTTGCTGGGGTCTGACCTCTCCACAGAAGCAGCCTGCGTCAGGCCACTGTGCCCGTTGGGTGAAAGCTTCGTTCCCAGACCTGAGATTCATGCCCAGAGTGTGCTGGGGCAGGAGAGGGGTTTGGGCACAGCTCTCAGGGGTCTCCCAGGACTCATCTGTCCAGGGGAGGAATGAGACCAAACCTCTGGGGACTGCAGGGTGGACAAGCCAGGATGAGCAGTGAGTAGAGATGGGCCAAAGGAGGAGGGGACTGCTGATGGGTAAAGAAGATGCCTTCACATATGAGCCAGTCCAGGCAAGACTGGCTTAAAGCAGAAAAGGCAGTGCCATTTTCAGAGCTCTTGGAAAAAGGACCTTCCTCACTCCTGGGGCAGGGGAAGCCAGCTCAGAAAGCCCCAATTTCAGTGATTTCGGAGACCCAGGAGCGGCAGAGCATGGCTCCTGCAGGCCTCCCAGCTGGCCCTGGGGAAGAGGGTCTGAAGGCAGGAACAGCTACATGGGCAGTGGGCCCCAAGGTACCAGGAGGCGTCGGGGAGGAAGATCGCAGGAGGGATGCAATGTGGCTGCTCCTGGCAGCCCTGCCACTGGGGGCCACGGGCCCAGGGCCAGCTGGCCTCTCCAGGGGGCGGGCCCTCCGGGTCGAAGAGGCCCCTCGACTGGGCAGGAAACTCCTCCGGGCCGGCAGGATGGTGCCAGTAGCTCGGCACATGGGAGTGGTTCGGAGGGCTGGGATGGGGTAAGTGGGAGAGGAGGCGCTGGGGAGGACAGGGCCGGGCACTCTGCCCAGGATGGCAAGCTGACTGCTTGGGGCTGGCAGCCCCGGACAGCTGTGGAAGAAGGACCAGGGCCACACAGGGAAGGCCAGGGGGCTGGCAGGCGTGGGCAGAGGCTCCATCTCGGCTGCGTAGTTGTTGAGGTGGGAGAGAAGGCGAATCCGGACAGGGTCCACACGGCTGCTTGGTCCTTCCAGGACCCCCAGGTACCTGATGACCTCTGTGAGGCACTCCCGAAAACCAATGCTCCGGAAGTCGATGGCCAGGGCGCGGGCATCAAAGAATCCTATAAAGAGGGGCACTGTGAGGGCATGCCAGGCAAGGGGAGAAGCTCTAAGCCTGTGGTTGGACCACTGAGTTCAGGAGCAGCCTCCCCCAGTCACTCTCTGTGTGACCTTGGGAATGTTATCCTACCTCTCTGAGCCGCAGTCTCCCCATCTGTAAAGTGGGAATAATAATAATCCCTGCCTGGGGAGGAGGATGCGAGCCCTGGTGGCACAGTGGGTAAGCTCTCGACTGCTAATAGAAAGGTCAGTGGTTCAAATCCCCCAGCGGCTCCTTGGGAGAAATATGTGGCAATCTGCTTCCGTAAAGATTACAGCCTTGGAAACCCTATGGGGCAGTTCTACTCTGTCCTATAGGGTCACTATGAGTCAGAATGGACTCAATGGCAATGAGTTTTTTTGGGTTGCGGTGGAGGATAGTGTGTTATGAGGACCAAATGAATTTACAAAACTACGAAGCATTATATAAGGTAAAGTATTATTTTTACCACAACTCATGATTAATCCAAAGAAGAAACTTTGTGGCCAAGATAATTTCATTTAAGTAGACACTGGCCAGGTGTGAAAAGGCTGTGCACAACACGGAGGTATAAAACAACCCTGCCTGCTGCTAAGGGTTGGAGTTGGCGGCAGCAGCCACGAGAGCTGGGAGGGCCCTTGGAGAAGGCGGCATACTGCTGCAGTCAAGCGAGAGGTCTTTGGAGGCAGCAGATCTGGGTTCAAATCCTAGCTCTGCCACTTAACTAGCTGTCTGGCCATGGACAAGTCTCCTAATCTTCCATGCCTCAATTTCCTTAGCTGTATAATGGGAATATAACAGAACCTGGCTTTAGAGTTGTGAGTGTGAAATTAAACGAAATAGTGCACAGAAAAATGCTCAATACATTAACAACTAGCTCCTACTTATATTCCTGACCTGGCCCTTGTAAGCGTTTGAGTCTGTCCCCTGGCCCAAAGGACCCTAGGACCCTACTCTGGAAAGAGTCTGGAAAGTAAGACGCTACTCTGATCCTCAGCCACTGACGTCAGGCTGGGAGCCCTCTCTTTGCCCTGATGTCAGTGAGTTGACTGTCCTGCACAGGTATTCACAGCCTCACTGCCTCTCCACACCTGCCCATCTCCCGACCACTGTCTGGGCAAGGACAGACTCATGACTATGGCAGCAAATATCCACTTCCTGGTTCATGGCCAAGGATGCCACAGAGGGGCAGCCTGGCACAAAACTATGTTTGGAGTCAGGTCACCTCAGGGACAACACCTGGATCTGCTGTATACTTAGCTGTGACTTTGAGCAAACCCCTTTCCCTTTCTGCGGTTGCTGTTCTTTTTAAACTAACATTGACTGAGTTCTTACTAAAGCACCTTATATGCATTATCTAATTTAATCTTCTTCTACCCCATGGACATCAAGTCGATTTCGACTCATAGCGACCCTATAGGACAGAGTAGAACTGCCCCATAGAGCTTTCAAAGTTGTAAATCCTTATGGAAGCAGACTGTCACATCTTTCTCCCATGGAGTGGCTGGTGGGTTCGAACCGCCAACCTTCTGGTTAGCAGCTGAGCACTTAACCACTGCGCCACCAGCTCCTCTTGATCCTCATAAAAACCCTACTATTCCCATCTTAGTGATGAAGAAACTGAGGAACAGAGAGGTTAAGTCATTTGTCCAAGGTGACAAAGCTAGTAAGTAGCAGAGCCAGGATTCAAGTCCTAATGATCTGTTTTCTCATTAGCCCTTAGTCATAAGATAACAATCCCTGCCCTCGATGTTCTTGTGAGAAGTAAATGAGATAACACATGTGAAAGTACTTTGAAAACTGTAAAATGCTGCCTGAATATTAGTCATTATTTTTTTTTTAATTGGATAACCACAAATGTAGTTTGAAATATCTTCCCCACTGGCTGATTACAGATAGATGTCTCCACTGTTAGCAATGCATTCCTTGGGTAGTAGTTCTCAAACTGACTAGCTACATCAGAGTCATTGGGAGTGCTTATTAAACCTGCAAATTCCTAAACTCCAATCCAGACCTCCTGCCTTAGAATCTGGGGTGTGACTCACAACTCTGCCTGCCCCCTTTGACATGGCTGCACACTGAGGGTTGAGAAGCACCAGGTCGGCCTTCAGGGGTAGCAAGTTAAGTCTCTGGGACTTTGGTCTATGTGGTTAAGAACTGGGGAGCCTTCATAGTTTCCCAATTGTGAAATCACCAAAACACAAAGAGAGGCTGCGTGTAGACAAACTTACCACTTGTCTGGAAGCTTTTTAAAAGCCACAGTTCCGTGACTTTATTTTTCATGGGCTAGCTCAAAATAATGGAATGAGTTACATTTGCTTTCTATTATAATCCCATATATAATAGAATATGTGAGTATGACATATCACCCCAGCACTGTCAAGGACACACAGCCCAGGAAGCTACATCAGTGGGTCGGTACACCAGTGGAACATCTGTGGCTAAAATCTCAGGCAGGCCCCTACCTGGATTCAGCAGGACTGGGATCCCAGTGAAAATTAGCTCATGGAGGGTAACCCTTAACAAGGCCCTGGAGGGTGGGACCAGTAGGAACAGTCTGTTGTAGAAGAAACCTCCTCCAAGGTCTAGGACAGAAGGCATGGAGGAAAGAAAAGAGTTGGGGCAAGTGGAGGCACGGAAAGTGAGAGGGAAAGGCTGTAAAAAGAGGAGAGACAAGCTTTGCCGATGTTCTAGCTGGGCCTGCTTCTACAGACTGTGAGCTCCTTGAGGCAGGGACCATGTCCAGTTTGCTCAGGAGTGCATCCCCAGGCCCCAGCCTCCAAATACTTGTTGCATGAATGATTCCTGGGAGAGAAGGGCATCGGTACCTGTCCCGCCAGTGGCATGGAGCATTTTCAAGTGATCCACCGTCATCTGCAAGACCTCAGCTTTCTCTAGCTTGGAGGAGCCCTGTGTGTTCAGAAGACAGAAGAGTGAAGGCCTCTAGCTGACCTCCATTGCTTCCCTCCTCTGCACAGTCATCAGCACTCACTGTCTCAATTAATTTCTCACCTTCCTCCCACTCCTTGACCACCTGCAACTGGGCTTCTGCTTTGGCCAACGTCTCTTCAGTTCTCATCTTAGTGTACCTGTCCACTGCTCTGGACACTGCTGACCACTTCCTCCTTCCTGAGAACCCTCCTCCCTTGGCCTCCATGACACCACCTTTTCCTGGTTCTCCTTCTGCCCTGCCTCTACTCTGCCTGCCCCTTAAACGGTGGTGTTCCCCAGTGGGTACTGGCCCACTTCTCTTTCCAGTCTGCACACTCTCCCTTAAGGGCCTCATCTGCCTCCATGGCTTTATCCACCATCACCATAATGATCATTCCTCAGAAGACCACTCCTGCATGCCCACTCGTCTCCTAGACCATCTCTACTCACCCAAGATCTAGGACATCATCCTACCCTCAAAGCACTTGCTCGTCCTGTGTTTTCTCTCTCAGGAAATGTTTCCTACACCTCCAAGTATCACCTGGTCCCTCACGTGAAACCTGAGGGTCAGACTCTCCATGTGAATGCCTTGAGGGCAGGCACCAGGCCTAATTCATAGCTGATCCTGTGAAGGTTCCAGTGAATGTCTATGGAATGTCTGATTTGTTCTCACCAGCATAAGGGAAGGCATATGACCTGTGACCCACGCCTTGGAGCACAGGGTAAGAATCTTTGAGGCTATCTGGTTCAACCCACTCTCCTCACTATATTGTCCCCCATCCCAACATGTTCAACAACAGAGTGCTCACTCCTTGAGCAATCTGTTCTACTTTCAAATAGCTCTGGAAATGTCAGGAGTGCAGAGGGATAGGGGACTTGAGGATCACACAGTCCTGTGTTGCAATTCTGCTCTACTACTTACTAGCTGTGTGATCAGGTGCAAGTTATTTTCACCTCTCTGTGCCTCAGTTTCCTCACCTGTGCAATAGGCGTAATAATCCCTACTTTTCAGGATCATTTCGAGGATTCAATTCAACAGGATGATGGATATAAAGCTACAACACCTGGGACACAGTAGGACCTCAATAAATATAAATTTCCATTCCCCTTATCCAGTGACAGACACCAGTGAGTGATCACGGCACCTCAGGCAGTCGCTACCAACCAACAGAGATGGCATGAGAAACGACCCTTATCTGCCACCCACACAGTATTTCCTCTAGCACAATCAGCAACATCACATACCTGCTTCTCAAAGGCAGTGGGGACCAAGCGCCTCAATTCAGAAAGGCTGCTGTTGATGCGGTCTCGGCGCCGTTTCTCTATGATCTAAAAAACAAGGGCAACAAGTTACACGTATGCACCTCCACACAATTTCCAGTGTGCCTTGGTGAACACTGACTCATCTTTTCCCTCACAATATTTTGAGGGTGATAAATCTATTCTTATTTTATGGAGGAGGAAACTGAGGCTCGGAATGGGGCAGTGATTTGCTAAAGGTCACACGGAAGCAAAGCACAGAGCTGGGAGTAGAACTCAGGTCTCTTGTCTTGGTCTGTGGGAATGATATTCAAAATATTTAACCACCGGTAGAGGAGAGGAGCCCTGGTGGTGCAGTGGTTAAGCGCTCGGCTGCGAACCAAAAGGTCAGTGGTTCGAACCCATTAGCCGCTCTGCAGGAGAAAGATGTGACAGTCTGCTTCCATAAAGATATACAGCCTTAGAAACACTATGAGGTAATTCTACTCAATTCTACAGGGTTGCTGTGAGTTGAAACAGACTCGACAGCAGCGAGTAAAACAGGGTAACAGGTACAGCAGGGTACCAACCAATCAGATTGGGGACACCAGTCACAGAGCTGGAGCTGGCCCCGGAGGTCCCCTGTTGGTCTGGGATTATACTTTCAGCTGCTGGGTCATCAGGAGGTCTGAGAAGTCCTAGGCATTGTACTGTAAAGCTGCTGTTCCTTTGATGTGAACTATCTCATCCTTACCTCACAATACTGGTAGCAGAATACTGATTAACCTGTTGGAAATCAAACCCATTGCCAGAGTCAATTCCGACTCATGGTTATCCCACGAGTTACAAAGTAGAACTGCTCCATAGGGTTTTCTTGGTGGCAGTCCTTATGGAAACAGACCGCTAGGCCTTTCTTCCCTGGTACTGCTGGGTGGGTTTGAATCACCAACCTTAGGTTAGTAGTCGAGCGCAAACCATTTACACCACCCAGGGACCTCCAGGATACTGATAGCAGGGCAGAAATGATACCCCCCCCCCCATTTTACAGATAAAGAAAATGAGGGCTGGAAATAAGTGGTTTGTGGTTAATGAGTGGCAGAGGTGGGGCCAGATCCCAGGTCTATGGACTCTCTGTGCAGTGCTCGTCCTACTCAGCACAGCTACATCCTGGGAGGGAAAGCGGGTCAGGGACAAGACTACCAGCAGCAAGCTTGGGAGGGAGCCTCTTTCTCTTCCCCATCTCTCAGCCCACTGAGACAAAATGAAAGTTCTGAGCTCAGAGAGGAGACAGAAGATAGGGTAGAAAGGAAGGCTCGTATAATAGTAATAACAATAATGGTTTATCATGTCAGATATTGTTCTGAGAGCTTTGCATTAATTCACTTAATCTTCCAAACAACCCTCTGAGGTAGGCACTATCATTATTCCAGTTACACATATGAGGAAATGAGGCACAAAGAGGTTAGGCAGCTTGCCAAAAGTCACCCTGCTAATTACTGGCAGAGGCAGGATTGAACCCAGGCAATCTAGCTAGCTTCATGTTGATGGGTCTCCCTCCCGGCTAGGCCCTTAGGGGAGCAGGGCAAACCTTTGTTGGGCAACTCAGCTGTGATGGACACTCACCCCTCTCCGTTTCTTCCTGGCTTGCATCTGTGAAGGGCTGGTGGTGGGCAGCGGCCTGGCCATCTGGCTGGAGAGAAAGAGAAAGGCTTATTTTTCAGCACTCGGGGACCATCACTGTGGCCTGGGCTGACCTCGCAGAGGCCAGGCTGTCGGCAAGCACATCCCCCTCCCAGGCGGCCGCTGGCTCCCAGGCCAGGAAGAGCCGCAGGGCGGGCGTGGGAGGGACGCTTTCTCTGCCTTCTCCCCGGGGGCCCATTTCTCCCCGGGCTAAGTCCTCCCCTGCACTCAAGGTTTCCTGCCTCCGAGGCGGCTCGGGCTGCGCTCACAAGGCGACGGGCAGCGGGGCGGGCGTGGGGAGGAGGGGTGGCTCCTGGCACCGACGTGCTCCCGCCTCGCCTCTCGCTGCAGCAGGCGGCGTCGGGGAACTGCGGGCCGGGCGGCTCGGGCTCTGCAACCCGATCCCCGCGGGGCGGGGCCGGCGAGGGCAAGGGCCGGCGGCGGCGGCGGGGCCAGGCCGTGCGGGTTGGGTTTCAGAAGGAGCCGCTGGGAACGAGCGTGGAAAGAGCAGATGCCGCCGCTTCCCACGGGCCGAGCGCGGCGGCCACCCGCCCTCGCCCGGCCTGCAGCTGCCGCCGCCTCCCACGCGGCGCGGCCCCAGTGGGGGCGGGGATAGGCGGCATCTGGGTCACAAGCCCCTCTCGGGACATCACTCCGGCCTCCCCAGAGGGCCCCAGCCCCCCATCACTTCGGGCCTCCTCTCCCATCCTGAGCCTTCTCTCTGCAGCTGGCTGAATGAATGATGGATGTTTGCTCACACCCCAGGAATTCTCATCACAGGGAAGAGGCTCACTCCTCCCGGGGCTTTTCCTGCCTAGACTTTGACCAAAATAATCTCCAGTTCAACTGCTCACCCTCCTAAAGGGTTTCCGGCTTCCAGGCCTCTCTTAGGATGGAAAGGATTTGCTGGGTTGCGCTGAGGTATTATTCATTTGGCCAATCCTTCAGGGGCCCCATTCAGGCCAAGGGCTGGCTGGTGTAGGCCGAGGAAAATTCAGCCAGGCCCCAGCCCTCCAGATGCTTACCATCTGCTGGGGAGACATCATGTGAACAAACAACTTCAGACAAGGTGACTCCCCTGTTATTTCTGAAGACAAAACTCCACACATGTGAACAGGAACCCCTAAGATTGCCCCAGTCCCAGCTTCTCTTCCCACTAGGCTCTGTATCTCAGTGAAGGCAATCCCAATTTTCCGGTTCTGCAAGACAGAAACCTGGCCGCCATCTTTGATTCCTCCTCCACCCTCACTCCCACCTCATCAAAATGGGCCGATTCCACGTCTGAAATTCATCTCATATCTATCTTCTTCATCCCTTCAGCCATTCAGGACCAAGCCTCTATCATCTTTACCTGGACGGCTGCGAGAGTTTCTTGGGGGGCCCCTCTGCACCTCCTTTATCCCCTACAAGCCTGGCTCTGTGCTGCAGGAAGAGCGATCATTTAAATGCAAATTCTGATCTTGTAATTTTCTTAAAACACTTCAGTGGTGTCCCAGTACTTCTGGATCAAGGGCATTAACCTTCAGGTGACCCACCTATCCCCTGTCATCCCTTATCCTCAACTCTCCCTTGCTGTGTGTGCTCCAGGCTGTGAACACTCTACACTCCTACCTGTGGATGCACATACTGTTCCCAGAGCCTAGAATTCTATCCACCTACCTCCCTGTCCCAAGTCTTGTCCCTTTGCCTACTAATCTTTACCATCATTTAGATCTCAGCTCAAATGTCACCTCCCTGTGGAGCCTTCTCTGACACCCCACCCCAACTAGGGGGTGTCCTCTGCTCTGTACTCTCCTAGCATCCTGCATTCACAGTATTTATGTCAATTTGACCTTTTATATTTATGTGACTGTGATTAATAGCTATCTCTCCAACAAGTCTGTAAGCTCCATGACGCCATGAATCATGTCTGTTTCATTCAGTAATGTAGCCCCAGTACTCAGCATAGTGCCTGGAACATGGCAGAGCTCATGGTAGGGCTCCCTCCTCCTGCTCTCCTCTTTGGCATCCCTGGGGAAGAGAAAGGTGAGCACTATCAAATCTATGTCCTACGCCTTTGTGGAATGGGGTCATATGTGGCTCACCAGGAGGCTCTTAGCTCATGTGACTACCCTCTTGGCATTTGGGGTTGGATCGTTTTCATCCATTGCTAAATGAGAGAAAGCTGTAGGAGAGACCAGATCAGCATTTGTCAAATCCTAGTGTTATTCCCCTGACTTCATCCAGCCACATCTAGAAAAGTATATCTCCTACCCAAACATCTGGACAAACGGGGCTGGTAAGGGGCCTGTGAAAGCTCCCAAGAAGGAGGATCCAGCAATCTAGGTCCAGGGCTCGGACAGCCAGAATCTATGATCTGCAGGGTAGCCTGCTTACAAAGTTTCCCTGGGGACAAGCCCTGAGAGCCAAGGGCCAACATGGCCTTTGTCCCTTCCGGTTGGATAAGGCTCCTCTCGGGGTATTGGGTTAGCATCACGCACGTCACTGCCTCTCGGCCTGATCCCTCCTCAGGGACCATCTGTTGAGGCTGACGCACCCATTTCAGGGCAAGGCAGCTCTGGCCTCCCTTTCTCCAGTCTCCTGGTCAGTTCTCTGCAGGTTATTCCCCGCATCCATATCTCACAGGCCAACCTCTCTTTACCGTTTCCTATGCACTACTATGTATATCTCCCTTATTTAAGCCCTGTTTTACAGATGAGGACACTGAGCCTCAGGGAGTTAAAGCTCCTTGCCTAGCCCATGCAGCTGCTAACGAAGCAAAGCTAGTATGGGAATCCATGCCTTTTGGCTCCAAATTCAGCATTGTTTTCACTCATAATTCCTACTTCCTGTCTGTCTGAATAGCCCTCAAGTCCCCTGATCCTTAAAGCTCCCAAGAGCCCAACCAGAGCCTGCTTCCAGCCCGCAATCTGGCCCTGGTAGTGGGAGGAGGTATGGGGGCCTCTTGTCTGGGAGTTTGAAAATGAGGCAGATTTTCATGGACACAGAGAAGATGTGTTGATCATCAAGATCTGCTCCATGGGCCCCCAGAGGCCCCTAGCCAGAATTCCAGGGTGGTCTCTTTGTGGGGGCAGCTTTCCAGGCAGTCTGGCTGCCAGTCCCGACCACCCTTTGCGCTGACTGCCCCTGGGAACTCCCCTGTGGGACCCTTACCAATAGCCCTACTCATTTTGCCTCAACCAAAGGCAAAAAAACAAAGGAGAGACCTCAGAGAGCACTGATCCTATTTGTAAAATGAGGAGACTCAGAGAGGGGAAGGGGTCTGCCCTGGGCCATATAGCAAGTTAGAGAAAAATCTAGAACTAGAGCCAGGTCTACTGACTTTCAATCCAGTGCTCTTCCCAGTGCACCGAAATACTCACTGTCCCATCATTTATGTCTCCTAACCAGTACATTATGTTCTAGACAGCACGTCTGCATCCACTTGTCTCATTTATTGAGCAGTAGCCCATGAGTTAAATATTATTGGGCCACTTCAAACTTAGGAAAACTAATACTTTTATAGATGGGGTGACAGAGACACAAAGAGTCTTCAGATTTCTAGTCCTTTCACCGAACCATGCTGCCTCATGAACATGGAACCCACCCCACCCCCCCAACTGGATGGTGACCCCATAGAGAGCAGCATTTATTGCGAATTATCTTCTGTCAAAGCAAGGAGCTAAGTGCTTTCACGTATATTGTTGTTCATTGCCTTGGAGTCGATTCTGACTCATGGTGACCCCATGTGTGTAGAGTAGAACTGTGTTCCATAGGATTTTCAAGGCTGTGACCTTTCAGAAGCAGATTGCCAGGCCTGTCTTCTGAGGCACCTCTGGATGTGTTCGAACTGCCAACCTTTCAGCTGGTAGTTGAGTACTTAACCATTTGCGCCACCCAGGGACTTGGAGGCAGGTTATTAACATCTCCATTTTGTAAGTAAGAAAACTGAAGATCTGAAAGGGCTAAAGTCTCTTGCCCAAGCTAATGGTGGTGAGAGTCAAACTCAGGTCTATCTGACTTCAAAGGCCACCTTGTACCTTAGATCATTTAGGAATGATGCACAGTCCTTGACCCAGTGCCTGACATGTGGCAGGTGCCCATTCAACGTTTGTGGAGGGGGAGGTGACAGATGATATTTTGAGTTTGGACCCAGCATGTGTCAGGGGACCCAGTTCAGAGAATAGCTCTCTGGGTGAGTCCCACAGGCAGGGGCAGGATCCCACCAGGCAGCAGCCCACAGTGCTGGTGGGACAAGCCCGGCTCGTGACTCTCACGTCTCTGAGCGTGGGGGATTTGCGCCCTGTCTCTGACCCCAGGGAGGCTGGCTGCCCCAGTCCCGTGGCCCTTGCTACTGTTTATCCGACTTTAGAGTTCTTTGTACATGAAGCTCTTCTTCCCTGAGAGTCCCCTGGGGGCAGAGGCTGAGCAGGATACATCTGGGCCCCGACACCCAGCCTAGGTCTGGGCCACAGCAGGCATCATTCAGCACTCCCTGAATTGAAGCATTGATGTTTGCCGGGGGGAGGGCCTTTTGGTGAGTGCTACAAAGAGGCATCTGTAAGTCAGCCTCTGCCAGATGTCCAACTGCTTTCTCTCCTCCGAGGGGGTCTGCTTCTCTAAGAATCTAGACAGTCTCTAAAAATGGGCTCTGGATAAAACGACAACATGTCATACAGGAAAAAACTGCCCGATGATCCTTGATGCCTCATCCCAAATGCCACCGCCTTCGAGAAGCCCTCCCTGCCATCTTTGGTTGTGACTGATCTCTCCCAGTTTAAGTGCCCTCACAGCCTACATTCTCTCCTTCCATCCTGTCTGTGGTCTTTATGTGACCTGGCAGGTCACTGACCAGGCTGCAGGCTATTGGAGGACAGAAGCCGGCTCTGATCAACCTAGCTCTCTGGCATCAATTTCATGCCTCTGATCCATGAAGACTCAATGGCATTGAATTTGAGATTCCCTTGCCCCCACTCACCGCATGGTGCTGGGTCCCTCCCCTGCCTCTGGCAGGCACTGGCTAGGAGAATAGCTTCTCTAAATAGCAATTTCTGCTAAACAATTAAAAAGGCTAATATATTGCACAGGAAATTATATTATACAGTGCAAAACCTAACGTACAGGATGCAAGGAGATATTTATTGTCCTATACACTGTTATAAACTATAAAAAATTGGAAGCTGGCATTTTACTCGGGTTTGTGATTGAGGCAGGATTCCCGGTCTCAGAACACTGGCGAGCATTAAAATTCTGAAATGCCATTAAAAAATCCCTAAGAATTAACTGAACCTCCTTCAATTCTATCCTGCAGAGTCAGGTTTGGATGAACCAGGAGAGGTCAGATTGCTCTCCCCTTCCCATTGCCACATCTTTCTTTATTTTACTGATGATAAAACAGGCTCAGGCAGGAAAAGCAATGACCCTAGTTCACATGGTGAGTTGGCAAATTTAGGGCTGGGAACCAGGTCTGCAGACTCCCAGTCAGTCCCTGCTGCTCTTTTGGGGTGGCAGGTATCATGTGGTGGGCGCTTGGCACTAATTAAGGATTTGCATGCATTAGGCCCTGTGCTAAGCCCTTGACATACATTATCTCATTTGATTTTCCCAATAATCCTGTAAGGTGAGGTCTGTGATTTCTATTCATTTTACAGATGAGGAAATTGAGGTTTAGAGAGTTCACAGAGCTTGGAAGCAGCAGAACAACACACGTGGTTTGTTCTGCAGGTCTGCAGCAGGTCAGAATATTTACTCAGAGCTGAAAAGACTTGGTGGCAGAGTGATGTGGTAAAGAGCACTGGAGTTGGAGTCCCAGCCCTTGTACTCACCATGGGCAAGTCAGATACCCTGAGATAGGCGTTATTTTCTTCAATACCAATTTCAAAATCCATTTTGTTCAAGGGAGAAGGCATTTTTTCCCCTGATGTTTTTGCAGACTATGTGAAGGGTGCACCCAAGCTGGGGTAAAATTGGGAAAATCTGGTTATTCGGCTTGGTGAGCAGATTCCTGACCCGGAACAGTCTATGGGTATCCTATGATTTTCAGGGAAAATTCCTCACCAATGGCCTCACCCGGACATTTCAACAGAAAGACAGTCACCAACTACAAATCAGCCCGCTGAGCTGAACTCTACCTCCACCATCGCATCCCGAGCCCTAAATGGCCCACAGCACACAGTCTTCCCGGCACTGGTGCGTGTAACGGCACACACTGCACACGCCCCCACGCGCGGACACCTGCGGGCCGTCGCGCACACCTGGCTCCCACGAGGTCGCCTGAGGTCGTGCAGGAGGTCTAGTCCTCGTGCTCGGTGAGCACGTCAGGGGCGCTCCCCACCCCGCTCGCCCTCTGCGCGCTCAGTCCCCCACTCCCAGCCTTTACCTCAGCTCGCCCTCGCGGCCCACGTCGATGGGTCCGTCGGACTCGCTGTCGGAGCCGCTCGGCTCCCGGGGCCGCTTCATGGCGAGCGCGGGCAGCCGGCTCTCAGCCGGGCAGTGCAGGCTCGGAGTCGCCAAGTCTGGCCCCGCCCCGGCCCTGCCCCGCTTCTGTTCAGGCCCCGCCCGGGGAGCGCCGCCACCGCCCCTTCCCAGGGCTCTTTC